CCGGTACCCCGACCCGAACCACTACTACAACAACAACCGTACCGTACCGTACCGTACCGTACCGACGACGACGAACGACGACGACGAACACACACACACACACACACACACACACACACACACACACACACACACACACACACCACAGCCCGAGGTCACACGCGCCCCACTGACCTGCCACGCGCGGATGGGCTCGTCCGTAAACGGATACGGCTGCGTGCAGCACCACATGCGCAACACGTCTAACAGCATTTTCAGAACACTTCGCGCACACGGGACGGTCTTATCCAGTGCCATGAACCCCAGTCGAAGGCCACTCAGAGCCATCTCCAGGCCTGAGCCCGTTAGAAATGTGTACGTGTACGTGTATGTGTATGTATACCCATACGGCTTGCTGCGCTGGTTACTGAACTTGGGTACCGGCGTGTCGCGTGTGTGTGCGTCGTCGAGCGCGAGAGACAGTTGGTCTACGAGTTCACTCAGCATATCACAGCAACAGACGAAGTACTCACCTGCAAGGGACTGCGCAAGTAAGATTGCATTGCATGTCAGTATCGCTCCTGTGTGCGCCGCTTGAGCCCGATACCACCGGTGTGGTTGGTCTGTGTGTTCCGATGGATGGTGTCCCCGACCCCTTCCGATGAGTGAGGGCATACTTGACGTATTGACACACCCGCACGAAGCACACACCACACACACCCCAACACCAACACGAACACCATCAGCGCGCTACCAAACACAGACACATACTTCAAAGCACGAGTAACCGTACAGCCATACAGTTACCTTCCATGCCTTGATGGGCTCGTCTGAGTAGGGGTAGTGATTGGTTACAAACCACGTTGACATCCTGTGCACAATCCGCCCCAGAAGTCCAGGCATTCGCATCGCCGAATGATTGTCCAGGACAAACGACGACCGCGGCGTCGCTGAGGAAACAAAGACAAGCAATCCACGTGTGAGATGATGTTGTTGTATTGGTACTAGTACACCGGCATGCAAGAAGATGTGATATCGTTCACATAATTGTTCACACTTATCTCACACACACGATGGAAGACCATTGTATGGGGTGTTGTAATATCATCGACGCTGTTTGTGCACCGTCAGGTGGGTATTGGGAGGTACGACTGGGTACCGAACTGGTAACCCAAGGAGGAAACAGTCACCAACATGTTTACAATGCACATGTATCTGCTCGCACGCACATGTTCTAATGCATAGCAGACTGCGGTAACAAGATCTGGATTAAAAGCGAACATGAGGTGTGCAGCATAGACAACCTGTAGTGATGAGATAGGAGGTAATATTATATGTATATATGTATATATACATATATACATAGATACATACATATATATAAT